CACCGTCAGCCTACAATATATAGGTTCATTAAATTAATAAGTTAATTTAGTTCTAATAATTAAGTACTAAGCCATAATTTAATAATAATATTTAATTATGGCTAAAACATGAGCAACCGTATTAAATAAACAATTTAATATTTTACTTCTAAATATTTAATTTCCACAGGGAAAGAAATGAGATACAACGCAATTCAACGCAAGTAAGCAACCAACATGGAATAGTAACAACATTTTTAAAATAGTTATTTTTGAATGAGATTTAATTAAGATTCGATAAAATTAGTTGTATACTTGTATCTAATAAGATGTGAGTATTAATGTTGTATTTAAAAACGCATATAATTAGTTAATTACTACCTCAAGAAGCTTTTTAGTGCTGCAGCAAAAAAAAAAAAAAAAAAAAAGTAATTTAACATTTTAAAGCTTAATTAGTCTAATTGCTCTTTTTAATTAACCTATTAATTAAAATAAAAAAAGAGTATTTCCATCTAAGTTTATCTCAGAATATCTATCTTTTTATATATGTAGAATTATTTAATTGATTTTTGTTTGTGCGTATATGATCACTAAGTGAACTTGAGTTTTATTGTCACAATAAAAAAAAAAAAAATTTAATCGTAACAAGTAAATTAGTCTAAACATTCATTTGCTTAGAGAGCAGTGGCCGGTAAGCAAATTACTATTGTTACTGCAAAATTGAAAGGTTGACTATTGTAAAAATATGTCATATTAAAGAGCTATATGCTAGGCTTCTCTTGCAATGTAAAAAGTAAATTTAAAAGATAAAAACTTCACTATAATGTCACACATACCACTATAGAAAGGAAAATGATTCCACTCTTACGTACAAAAATCATTCTTTTCACTTCCCGATATGATAATTTTTGTATGGTTAGTTTTTCATTTTGTTTCTTTTTTCTTTTTAATTGTAAATTTTAATTTATTAAAAATTTTCACATTAGACAAGTGGATAGAATTTGAGTGAGACTTTTGTATGGGGCATTTTTAAAATTGTCGTTATAAAAATTCATAAATTGACCTTATAACATCGGTCTAGTGAATAAGAAGTCTAACTTAGGGTGTGTTTGGAAACCTGGAAAATGAGTTCTGTAATTCATTTTCCAAGTTTCCAGTGTTTGGATGTGCCTGGAAAATCAAGTCAATGGAAATCATTTTCCGTTGACTTTGGAAAATAGGTTTGTTTTGGAGGAAAATGACTTCCCATTTTTTTTGGGGGAAGTCATTTTCCAACTTTTACACCAACATCACACCACCACCAACATCATCAACACCATACCACCACCACCTCACTACCATCACCACCACTATACCACCGCCACCATACCACCGCAACCACCGTCGCCACCACCACCACCACCACTACCACCGCCGCCGCCTCCATACCACCGCAACCACCGTCGCCGCCACCACCATACCACCGTCGCCACCACCACACCACCGTCGCCGCCGCCACCACCATGCCACCGCAACCACCGCCGTCGCCACCACCACCATACCACCGCCGCCGCCACCACCATACCACCGTAACCACCGTCGCCACCACCACACCACCACCATCACACCACCGTCGCCGCCATCACCACGACTATACCACCGCAACCACCACCACCATACCACCGCAACCACCGCCACCATTGTCACCACCGTCATACCACCACCAGTTGTTATTATTATTATTATTATTATTATTATTATTATTATTATTATTATTATTATTATTATTATTATTATTATTATTATTATTATATAACAAATAACACCACTACCACTACACCACCACCACCACCACCACCATAATATTTTTGATATACTATTCGTTATTTTTTTTATTATTATATTTAAAATTATTATTATATTATTATATTATTATATATTATACATGTTGTAATATTCTAAATAAAATAATTAAAATGTTTAATTATACAATTCTACTCATTTTCCAGAAAATGAACCAAACACACAAAAACAGTTTTCCCGAATGCAACCAAACACTGGAAAGGAAAATGTTTTCCGAAAAATGACTCATTTTCCAGAAAACATTTTCCAGAAGTCATTTTCCTGCTTTCCAAACGGACCCTAAATGTTTGCTTTTAGTGACATGGTAGAGTTTGATCCTTCCATGAGCATTAGCTCGATTTATCTCCTCATGTGTCTAAGAGGGGGTTCAAGCGGTTTAGGATATAATCCCACAAAATCGGGAACTTAGGTTATCTAAAAAAAATCAACAATTGCTATACTGATATATATTTTGAAATAATTCTCAAATAAGCCACCGAATTACGTAAACTCGAAAATGCAGTTGGAGTCATCTTACTAAAAAGAATACATTTGAGTCCTTGAACAGTCAAAAGTCACACAACTAAACCAAAATTGACATGTTCTCCCTATTAATGTTGACGTGGCAATCACAATCAAAATTATTTTAAATTTATTTTAATAATTTTAAATAAAATGCAAGTTAAAAAATATTTTAAAAATATTTTTTAAATAAAATAACCGTCACTTTAACAATAATCTTCAGAATTTATCCATTTTAGTTTAATTATAAGTTTAAACTGTTTAAAGACTCAATTGCAAAAAAAAAAAAAAAAAAAAAAAAACTTGGATTATTGTCCATTTACATTTTTCAAAATAGTTTGGTGTACTATTTTCGAGGAGGGTGGTCTATATTGCAGTAGGAGTCTATGCTATGCTAGTCACCTAATAATAGGTTAGTTGTCAGCAGCATTCAACAACTTTTGTTTGCATTCCAATTATGTCTGTTTCTCAGTTTGTCCTATGTTTAAAGGAAAATACTACATAAATTCTCACTTTTTACTCTCACTTTTTACTTACTTTTACAAATAATTGATGTAGACATTTTTTTTTTTGAGATCCACATAATAAAAGTATTTTATCATTGTTTGTCACATTATTATGGGGTAAAAGTGAAGGAATAGAATTTGAAAGTATATATAGTAGAGGGAAAATAACACTTTTCCTCCCTGAGTTATATACTTATAGCACTTTTTCCTCATGAATTATTCATGTAAGCATATTAGCCCCCTCAATTATTCTAAAAGTTGCAATATTTCTCCCTGATATATTAAATTGACATTCCTACCCTTAAAGTAAATATTTTATTTATTTTTTTCCCAAACAAATTATTGAGTATATGTATGGATGACCATGGTTCAGTTCGAACTGAACCGGACACTAGAGCAATCGAATTAAAAGATTCTGATTATGATTCAGGCCAAAACTCAATATTTAGATTTCAGTTTATTAAAATTATGAATCGAAAAAATTGGATCCTGAACCGTGAACCGGCGGTTCCGAATCCGATTCGCGATTTTGAACCGTATTTATTTTTAAATTTTATTTTTTATTTTAAAATAGTTTAAATTCAAAAATAAATGTATTTGTTAGAGAAAAAAAATATTTATTTTAAATCTTTATTTTAAAAGTAAATATGTCCATTTAATATTTTAGAGAAAAAAAAGTCAATTAAATAATTCAAGAGAAAAAAGCGCTATAAATATATAACCCACTAGGAAAGTGTTATTTTCCTATAGTAGAACTCAAATTTAAATAATGGAGTCGGGCCCACACCGCCGCCTTTCTATCTGCATATGTGTTTCCGCGTACAATAAATAAAACATTGAGAATCCCAGTTGAATAGGTCCTGTTTGGCTGCTACTTTGGTTGAATAGCCAAGTTAATAAAGTATAGGGAACTTCTCTCGTGTCAAGTAGATATAGTACCAAATATTAGGGGTGTAAACGAGCCGAGCCGAGCCCGAGCATGGGTATGCTCATGCTCGAGCTCGTTAATGATAGCACTGCTCGAGCTCGAGCTCGAGCTCGTTCGAACTCGTGAATTGATGCTCGAGCTCGAGCTCGGCAATTGTCGAGCTGCTCGAGCTCGAGCTCGAGCAGCTCGATTCTTCGAGCTCGAGTTTAGGTTAGAATTTGAGCTCAATTTTGATCTCGAATTTGACCTGTTTGATTTAAAATTTAAACTACTTTGTTTTATGACTTTTATTCATACATAATTATTAAACTATTTTAATTTTCCTCCCCTAATTATTATTTTTATATACTAAATATAATATAATTATATTATATATTATATATTATACAATATATTATAAGGCTCGCAAACGGCTCGTCGAGCTGCGAGCCTACAATACCTAAGCTCGGCTCGTGCTCGTTTAATCCACGAGCTGCTCGAGCTCGAGCCGAGCTCAATTTTGACCGAGTTCGAGCCGAGCGTTGATCGAACTGCTCACGAGCGACTCGTGAGCGGCTCGGCTCATTTACACCCCTACCAAATATACAAATAGTGTTGTAGTTATTTAATATAAGTTGTAATGTCTAGACGCCTAGACGGTCTAGTTCAAATAGAATTTTAGTTAATAAGAAGTATTTAATTAATTGTTACAAAAAAATTGCAGTATTTAATTGTTGATTTTAACAATAAGTTTTGATTGGTAGAATGATTTTTAAATTTATTTAAAATTTTAATTATAATAAATTACTATTTTCTTTGTAAATTATTTTAAACTTAAATTTACCTTTATCTTTTTTTCTTTTTGAATTAATTCTATTTTTGTCCTAGATTTTTAATAGATTTACATGTGAGAGTTCACTTTTTTCACATTTGGTTCTAGTATTATTATGGACATTACCAATTTTAGTCCTCCAGCAACAAAATCGTTAAAATATCGTTAAATACAAAACTATTTCGATCATTTTTATACAAAGTGAGTTGACCCGTTATATTTTTATATTTATTTTTTTTTTCTTTCCCTCTCATCTTCTGTCGGTTTCTTATGCATTTGATAATTAAGGACATTATTAAATGAATTCTTAAACGAAATTGGAAGTCCAAAACCAAGGTAACGTGATGATAAAGTTACGGTAATTTATCTATGAAAAAATTACTGAGTATAATAAGTTCAAATGCTATTATAGTAGATAAAATGAGTGAAAAGCCTCATTACATGAAGACTTGTAGTATCCATTAAATAATTATTTATGAATTTTATATGGAAGTAAAACAGCAGAAAACATTATTGGACGACACGATGGTCTCTTGGTTCTTCACCTGCTCCGATCCTCTCTGCTGCTCCACTCGTCGGAGATGGGTTGACAACTGCTGCAGATCAATGGTGGTCGCCGGTCCACTCCTTTCTCGAGAGGCCTTCAAACATTTTTTGCTGTAGTAATTCATACAATTCTTTGATTTTTGGATTCCAGGACGACGATGGTCTGCTCTGCAAGTCTGGGTAGCAGACAGAAGAGAGAAAGCTCCGCCGCCGGAAATCTCCCCGCCGGACAGTTCTTGCTCTACGAGGTTGCCGGCGGCGGGGCTATTATTACTTTTTGTGTTGTTCTCCTGTTGTTGGCAAAAGTTGAGATTCCCAGAAAGTATTTCCGGAATAAGAAATGGGGATGCCCCTTGGGAAGCCATATCCAATAATAAGCTTGCATCTGCAATATGTACCCCACTATCGCATATTAACATATATATATAGAATAAATGACCAAAAAAAAAAGGAGGTATGAATTTAGGTATATTGTTTTATTTTTATTTTTTTTGGGATTACCCGGTTTACCGGGTTGGACACAGTGATTAAGATAGCTGACCTGAAGATTTAAGGTTGTTCCATACTCAAAGTCAATGATCCAATCTTTGATCTTTGGTCAAGGATGGATAAACCCCTTCCACTCAATCACACCCAGGTTAATTTAGGTATATTGTAAATTTTAGTGTACAAACATTTGGGATCTGTAAGTCAGTTGAGTCAAATCTGACAATTTACTCTATTCACTGGTCTCCCGCCAAAATAAAAGCGGTGATGAGTTTTTAAGTTTGAAGTTCAAACTTATATATAGAATAAATGATTTTATCGTAATGTGCAAGGATATCGATAAAATGTTGAAATTTATAATGAAATAATCAAATGATGAAGCCACATGTTCGTAGAATATTTTAGAATATGATATGATGATGCATGCGCATGTGCTAGAAAAAATCTATGATTATATAGAAAATTAAATTTATATAAGTACTATTATTCTAATTTCTAAGCCAGATTCATTGAAATTCTATATTAAATTAATCATCACCATTCATGATTTTGAATTTTGATGACTTGTTCGCACAACTTAGCTGAATAGTTCAGTAGGCAGTATTTAGGAGAAGAAGAATTTTGATGACTTTATTTTAATACTTGGATAAATCTTTAACAACTCAAAATGTAATTTGGATAGAATTTTAATCATGTTGTATTTGATTATTAAATAAATCTTTTGATTTTTAAACTTTTAATGAACGATAGAAAATTCTTAGACAGTCAATAAATATAATTTCTATAAATTGCGAGGTAAAACCGGTCCACTAAAAGTAAACTTTAAATGTTACTTTCACTCACTAGACTAATGCTCACAGACATATGATTTGCCTTCTTTGGATAAGCATATATTGGACCATAATTGATATTTTTAAGGAATACATAAAGTCAAAGAAGTTTTTATATTATATACTCCATTTTTTTTGGTCAAATATCAAAATTCAAAAGTAAATGATTATTGGAGCAAGGGTTTTATATATAGGAGAAAAAAAAAAAAATATGCAATTACCCCATTGAGTATGAAAGCGAGACTTTCTGCGGCGCTTGTTGTGGCAGGCAAGACGCTTCCGACAACTGCGCTTGTCGTCATCAAATTCTGCTAACAAATGAAACCTGCATGCAACAATTATATAATTATTATATATTTTGATTATTATCGTTTAATATGTTAATTCATATTTTTTGTTTATCATACTGTCTAGAACCCCATGGTGCATAGAGTAACCAATGAAGGAAGCCTAGGAATGAATTATGAATGACTTAACATAGTTTGACCTTATATTCTTTATATACTTCTTTTTATTATTGTTAAAAGATTAAAGATTTGGCTAGTGTAATACATGACACTTATTCAGGCTGATCGCTATCAGTGTTGATCGTATTCGATATAATCATATGATCATACCTGATAATATTGATATAATCAAGAATGATATATACACTACTGAAAATTCTGAAATTTTCGACCACCTGAAAGTGATCTTAAATCAAGTTGAAAGCCTTGTTTCCGACCATTTTTGGTATCCGAAAAAACATTTGCTGCTATTTCCGACCACTTTTTGCTTTCAACTTGATTTAAGATCACTTTCAGGTGGTCGGAATTTTTATAATTTCCAGTAATGATATATGATTGTGATTGGTACGATCAGAATAGGCGTTCCTGGGGCGTTATAGAAAGAAAAATGAATAATAAACACATATATACCTGCTACATTGCTGGCAAAATCTCTGCTCAACACCATGAAGAATGGCTTTGATGGTTTTGGAGTGTTCCACGCAGACTCTATGCCTCTGGTGATAGTATTTGGAGGAACTAAGATCCATTTTACACCCATCAACTTGGCAGATTATTGGGACAAATTGACTACAGGGATTAAAATCTGTGATTATCTTTGCCTTTTTAGCTGAAGCAGATTGCCCAATCTCCAACCCTCCATATCCTTTGCAGCATTCTGCAGATACCGATTCAATTGCAGGTATTCTTTTCCAGTTGTTGTTCATCATATCATCATCAGAAAACATCATTATTTTGCTGGCAAAATTGTTGTCAGTGTTACTATTGTTGTTGTTGTTGTTGTTTTGAGTCCATAGTTCCATGAAGTCTGCATCACCTTCATTAATTTCCCCATAATAACTAGGGGCAATAATCATGTTCTTATCGAAATCCGAAAATGAGTTTACTTCCACACCATACTCAGAGAACAAAAGGCTCCCTTCATTATCCAAAGCATGGCCCCAAGACTCCATTTTTGGCTAGCTAAACTTGCAGTAGAAAACCTAGTTTTCTGAGTTGTCACCACAGGGAAGAAGAAAAGCAAAACATAATATGCCATTAGTTGATTGTTCTTCATAACATGAAACATAAATTCAAGAACATAACTACAATCAGGGACAATCCCAGCCAAGTTAGTCAGGCAGTTAGCTTTTCTGGTTTGAGACAGTGAATTATGACAACCTAGGTTGGTTTGTCTTTCACTGTCAGTTAGGGTCACAAAGCAGAGTTTATTCGATTCAATGCACACCCTCGGGTGACAAAAGAAAAGAACAACCATAGCCATGAAAGATAAGTAGAACAAAAACTAAGTATCAAAAACCATATGAATCATAAATCTAAGCTTCTATTGTGAAGAAAATACAGAAGCATGTAGGGTGTATATATGTTTAAGAGATTATAAGAACACCCCACCTGGGAATATTGAAGATGGAAAAGCCAAAACATAATGAATCATTGTAAGATGTACGGTGGTATATATGTATATAGTGCTGTACAACAATAATAAATGAAGTCTGTACTATAAAGGGAGAATATGTTTTCATTCGTGCTTACCAGAGAGGCAGCTGAACAAGACAAGAAAGTTGATAAGATTAAGGTATGGATGGCATCTCAAGGTGATATATTATGGTACCTTAAAACTTGTTTATGCACAAGGATTAAGACAGGTTACATGGTAATCACGACCTAATACACTATGAACACGAGGAGCTCAAGGTTTTCTTTTTTAATCACTTTTGTAAATTTCTATTGCTTGTTGTTTGTATCTAGTGGAGTTATGTATGACTGTATATATATCTTCCATTTCTGGTGAAGGGTTTTTGTTCTTTTCTGGCTCCCTCTTGTCATATTATAGATCATGCAAATCAAGAAGATAACTATTCCTTGTTAAAAAAATCCCAAGTCAAAACTCTCAAGATAACCCAAGATGCTTCCGAGCGAAACTAGCGAGTTTGTAGTCGTTTTTAAGTACCGTTTTCAAGGGTTATATTACGGGAGCTTACATTGACGCCCCCGAAATACCAAAAGAGTAATGGGTACTCATGGTTTTGCTAGTGGAGCATGGCATAATGTGTACAATGTGAGTCATATCGTGACTGAAAAAACACGGTATGATTGACTGGCTGATTATAAAATGGTTGGTTGACCTAACTCTACACATGTAAACACAATTATTGTGTGGTGTTTGGTTCCTCCGATGTACTAAAAAATATTTTTTTAAGTTAACAATCAATAAATAGAACCAACTCCCAAATTTTAAAATTTTTACAAATCATCTTCAATCCATATCATTACATTATGTAAGCCTTAAGAGACAGATACATATATTTTCATCATATTCTAGAATTCATATGGATCTGCATGTTCTAACCTTATTTTCCCAGAGTTGTTAACATATTAGTTGAAAGTTTGAATTCAGTAACAAGAAATATCATATCCTATAATTACCAAAATGAAGTGGCAAAAGTGTAAGAGGAAGGGAGTGAAATTACCATAATGCCCCTGCCACCTGCAGAATTCATGACTCACGAGGTTTAACTTTCACTAAAAATAATGAATAATTATACTTGGATTACAATTAATGTAATCATATTAGGAGAAGGAAACCCAACAACAATAACAACAAACAATGCAATTAAGTGGAACTGCAAAACCTAAGAAGCTGCAGAAACAAGCAATGCATGCAATTCTGCATTAAAATATAGTAATCAAACATTACTCCAACCAAAACAAATGGCCGTACATCTAATACAAATTATAAGATGCAATTAATAATTTGGATTACAATCTTAATCCGTACTGAATATTGAATAATATATAATGGGATTGAGCTAAGCTAAGGTCCCTGTTACAAGTTACAACGACCCATGAACTTGGCAGACAGGAATTAACCTGGATGGGAACTAAAATTTGTGACAATGTCTTGTGTATATGTCAGTGAATATGGACTTCCACATCATATCAATAACACCACCCGATTCGATGAAGAAAAATAGTAAAATACTACTTGTACTCTCAAATTATATTCTACTCTTAACTTTTACTTTCTCACATGCACAAATCTTAAATGTAAATAATTTTTAATTTTTTAGACTCATAAAATAAAAATGTTCTATCCATGCATGCTTATCACATCAGGAAGTATAATCCATAAAGTAAAATTTGGAAGTCCAATAATAGAACTCTTCTATGAATTCCCTTGGCCTTCACATATTAGAGGACTTGTGCTTCTTTTGAACTACTAATTCAAGACCGTGTTGAAAATTAGCTATATATATATATATATATATATATATATATATATATATATATATATAATTGGCATTATATTTGAAGTTGTCATTTTGTGATATATATATTTTTCACTAGGAATGACTTTTGATTTGAGTCTGGTGGAAGTGGATTCGGGTTCTCAGGAGTTAACTTAACATATTATACATTCAAAATGAATAATAAGTACGTAAATGATAAATTAATTCTCAAAGTGTACTCGAGAAATTAACCTGTGTTCTAAATTAGAACGGGATTTGAGTTAGCATTATTATATATTTACAATTCAACTTTCTGAAAAATCTAAATTATTGAGATTCTCTCGTGCGCAAGGGTTGCAAAAGTTTAAACCATTTCAAATCATGCATAATACAATTACACACGTATATAAAAAGTCAAATTAGCCCCGTAAGTATAAGGAATACAATTTATTGTTATTCTTGCAATAAAATAAAAATATTTAAAATTTATTAATAAAGTATTATTTATTCAAATAAAAATATGTTTTAAATTTTTAATAAAATAAAAATAGTTATTATTTTATTCTTAAATAATTTTTTAAAATAAAACGTTATTTTTAATTTTTATTTTAAAAAGGTATTTTTTAAAATATTTTTTATTTTTAATAGAAGATAGCTGTGTTTGTTAATTAAAAAAAATTAAAAAATAAAAAATATTGTAAACATTAAATGATAAAATTTTTACTATATTTAATTTTTAATACAAATACTCTGTATTTATTATTTTATTAATTAATATTTTTTTTATAAAAATAGATTTTTTTTATAAATATATAAAATATTATTTTATAAAATAAAACAATACACTTTGTATCGACTCAAGTCTAGAACACCACTTGTTAACTTGATTAGTGTCATATTTGCTAGAAAGTAGATAAATATGTTATATTAGAGCCTAATTACACTATTGTATTGGTTTAGGAGGCATAATTGGAAGTTTTTTTTTTTTTTTTTTTTTTTTTTTTTTTTTTTTTTTTTTTTTTGATTTAGGTGACCTGATTGTAGTATTTAATGTGTTATACTTAGGTACCCAATTTGACAACATTTTCCTATATAAACATGTTGGAAAGCTTGTATTACTCACCGATCGAAGAGCAATTGTACAAGATTTGTGTGGGTGTTATATGTGGTAATTGATCGAAGTATGCAGATATTATTAGTTTGAAATACTTGGATGCTAATGACATTTCACATTATTTCTCATTCGGGAAAATTATGAGATTGATGCACCTTTAATTAATTTAATTTTGATGACATATATGATGATGTTGGAGGCAGATGAAAATATTTCATTGTCATCCTTGAGTTGCTACAATTCTTCTTTTCCATTTAGTCAAAGAAAAAAAATGAGAAAGAAAAATCTTATATATTGTAAGTTAGTTTTGTTGCAAGTTTGTAGCCTCGTTCCATTTTGTCTTTGTTTTCCGTATTGTATTTGCAATAATATTTTTTTTTGTCGTCACATGAAAATTTATCTAATAAGTTTACTTACTCCATACGTAAGTACTTAACAAAGATTTGTACACCTTATTTTCAATTCGTAAAATCTCATTAAATGAATAAGACAATAATGGGATGAAGAAATTATTTTAATATTTATCTCTTATGTTATAAAATTTTCTACCAACAACTTAAGGTGACGTTAGATTAAAATTAAACATTGAAATTGAAATGAAAATAAATTAATATAGTTTATCAAAGATGGCTTACATAACAAAGATTTGCACACCTTATTTTCGTAAAATCTCATCAAACGAATAAGACAATAATGGGATGAAGAAATCATTTTAATATTTATCTCTTATGTTATAAAATTTTCTGCCAACAACTTAAGGTGACGTTAGATTCAAATTAAAGTATTAAACATTGAAATTGAAATGAAAATAAATTAATATGTCTTGTTTGGTAAAATAGTTAGCCTATTTAGGTTTGTTTGACCATTATTAGCTGTTTGACTTAAGTTAAACAATAAATATGAGTGTTTGATTAATTAGCTTTTTGTAATAGCTTATTTCTCCAAAACACAAAAATTCAAAAAGCTGCTCAAAGTAACTTTTTTCGATCAGCTTTTTGAAAAAATTATTTTGTATGTAATCAGCTATCAGGTAATAGCTAATTTACCAAACATCTTTCTACAATTAGCTAATGCTATCAACTAGTCAAACCCACTAACCCAATCAACTAATAGCTATCAGCTAAAGGCCCTGTTTGGTAAAAAATTGGCTTATAGGCCAGTTTTGGCCTATTTGACCAGTATTAATTGTTTGATTTAGTTAAAATATCAATATAAATGTTTAGTTAATTAACTTTTTGCAACTCCAAAAGGCTAAAATTCAAAAAGCTACTCCAAGCAACTTTTTCAATTAGCTTTTTGAAAAAAGAATTATACCAAACAGCTATCAGCTAACAGCTAATTTACCAAACACTTTTCAACAATCAGCTAATGTTATCAACTATTTATACCTTCTAATTAACACAATCAGCTAACAGCTAACAGCTATTAGCTAACAGCCATTTTACCAAACAGGGCCAAAAGCTATTTACCAAACACTCCATAGTCTATCAAAGATGGCTTTTTATATGCATCTGGATTAAACTGGATATCTTTAACGTTTACTCCCTGCGTCTCATTTTATGTGTCTGGTTCAGTTAACGAGGCTTGACTGAAGTTATTTTTAAACCAATTTTTCATAATATTAAGTTTAGTATTAGTTTATAAAATTTATATATTTAGAAACTACACTAAAAATCAATGTTGCAAAAAACGTTAGGCGCCCCCTAGGCGCCTAGCGCCTAGGCGCCAATTTATTATTATTTTTTATTTTTTAATTAAAAATAAAATTAAAAATTAAAAATTTTCAAAATTTAGTAATAAAACATAAGGTTTTCATAGTTATTTCTTACAAATATTTACGTAAGTGGTTGTAAAAGTGTTCAAAAGATTGTTTAAACTATCTAAATACATAAAAAAAAAAAAACTAAAATTAAGAGCAAAATAAGCATTTTTTTGAGAAATTAGTGGACCAAACCGCCTTTGGCTGTTTGCGATGGATAGATCTCGAAAAAAACGCAATTTGAAAAAAAAATTTGTCCAAAATGAACAACCGAGTCAAAAGTTATGTCTTCCCAAACTTTTCCAACTTTACAACGAAAAAAAAATAAAAAATAAAAAATAAA